ACCCAAGACCCCAATCCTTCAACCCTAAATCCCCCTAAACCCAATCCCTCCGAAAGGCGGCTGCGCGATCGGAGGCAGCGGAGCAGGAGGACAGCGAGGCCGGGCCACAGGGCTCGCACAGCTCTATAAAGGGTGGGCTTTAGGGTTTAGGGTTCAGGGGTTCGACCTGCATGATTCATTATTTTCGAATTTTCATGAAACGTGTGCAAACCCCCCGGCTCCCCCCCAGCCCATCCCGCCGAGCCGCCTCGCCCAGCCCAGCCCAGCCCACCCAGCCAGCCCATCCAGCGCAGCCCTAGCCCGGCGCAATCCCAAAATCCAAATTGAAAAGCAAAAAAGCGAAACCCGCTCAAAACTTTCGCCCGAAACCCCGGACCCAAACATTATACAATTTCCAATAAACCCTAAACCCTAAACCCCATAGACCCTAATGCCCTAAACCCTAAAGCTTAAACCCTAAGCTGAACTTCAAGGCGTCCCGGTGCTAAAAGGGGGTTTTGGAATTCGGGCTTCGGGGGTGGAAGCTGGGAGCTCTAAACTTAGGCGTATTAGGGCTTTAGGGCTTTAGGGTTTAGGGCTTTAGGGCTTTAGGGCTTCAGGGTTCGGGCGGGTTTAGGGTTTAGGGCTTCAGGGCTTTAGGGTTTGGGGGCGTGTAGGGCTTTAGGGTTTAGGGTCTAGGGTTTAAAGGTTTAAGGGTTTAGGGTTTAGGGGTTTCTGCGCTTTCTCGGCTGGCGAAAAGAGTCCTGGATGCAAAAGGGTTTAGGGGTTTAGGAAGGGTTCCAATAAAGGGTTACTATAAGGGTGAGTTAAAAAGGTTAACTATGAGGCTTCCTGTGAGGGTGCAAGAATTGAAGCAAATGTCATTCGGGCTTTTCAGGCGTTGAGAAGAGATGGAATATTAGAGTTTTGAATTTCAACAAGTTTCACATGTATGTGAGTTTTAAAGTCTCAGGGATTGATTCTTCTGGGGTTCAAGACGTGGGTGTTTCAGAACCTAACCGACTAGAAAGACCCCATAAAACTAGTAGGGTCCTTCATCTACTGAAGCAAAAGCTACCTACCACTGGCGAAAGAATCCCCATGCAATCACCGGGAGCTGTAGGCCCAAACCGCAGATTGCGATTTTAGGTTCAGGGTTTTGCTGACAAGATTCGGGCTTAGGGTTTAGGGTTAGGGGTTGAGATTGTAGGTGCAGGGTTTCGTGACGAGATTCGCTTACGGGAGTTGGGACCGCATAGACACGAGATTCGAGAGTGTGGCTCGCAAGGCGGCAGAGGAGGTCACGCAGTGGCAGGTTCCGAAGCTGCTGTTTCGAGGGAGTCGCAGGCATTTTCGCGTCTTTGGAGTTGGAGTTAGGGGTTCCGGATTCTGCTGGGAGCTACAGGGGCAGTGATACGTGGGGGTATACGTCCTCTGATCTGCAGTATAATTCTGGCTACCCTACTTCTAACCCCAAAAAAACCCCAAAAACCCTAAACTCTAAACCCTTACAACGACCCATGAACCTCGGGTTATGGGATGCCACAGGTTTTTGGGTTTTGGTGCCTTTCGGATGGCTGAAGGCGCCATGGTAGGGTTCTATGGTTTTAAAGTTTAGGGTTCTGTGGCTTAGGGTTTAGGGTTCAGGGTTCTATGGGTTTAGGGTTCCATGGTTTGGGGTTAATTTAGGGTTGCTCTATGAACTATCGGTGCTTGCATGTCGGCCTCCGCCAAGAAGATTTCAGACCGTGGTCTGGCTAGACTTGAGCCCAGTAGCAAAGACGCGTTAGGAAATCGGTCGGAGTCTCCAAGACGCGCTGCGAGGCAGCTGTGGTTCAGGGGTGTTAGGGCAAGCAAGCAGCGGACGAAACACGCTACTCATGCATCTTTCGCCGAATACCTTGTCATCCTCAAAGACATCATCGCATGTCGCCCCGCAGTCGAGATCTTAGGCCTAAAAAGCCCCAGCCCAACAACCCCAAACACGAAGATCCCAAGACCCGAACGGCCTAGGCCCTAAAATCCTAAACACCAAACCCCGAACACCCTAAGCGGTCTAGCCAGGGGAGACCCTGAGCCGTAGCAGAACGAGCTTGCCAGGAGGAGTGGGAGCGATGCTTCTCGCAGGACCCCGGCATCCGATTTCTTAAGCGAGGTGTTAGTTCAACTCCTTGGCAAAAAATCAATCGCTTGCTTTTGAAAACACCGAGTGAGGTACCTCAACGTTTGAAGGCACCTCCAAATCCCAAGTTGAGCAGGAGGCTTCCACCCGTCAGCGAGCAGAGTGCTGGACGGCAAAGTGTCAGGCATCGGCCATGGGTGCTTCTTCTTCGTCCTATTCTTCTTCTTCTAGCTTATTAAGGTTATGATTATGATGATGGCTTGTTATTTTGATTTATGACTTGTCCTTGCTGTTGTTGGTGTCATGACTATTGTGATTACGTTGGTGATGATTACTCTAGGGGCTTTAGTAATAACTAGAATAGGGTTCGGGGGTATATGCTACTATCATTCTACAATAAGGAGCCCCCAAAAAAACCCAGCCTAGTTATTAAGTACATTATACCGTTATGGTTGCCTTGGTTCCATGGTTCAGTGCAAGGGTTTCAAGGCTCCCGTTTCGAGCGTTCGCGGGGGGGGGCGGTGCGAGTTTGTAGTTGAAGGCCTTTCTCACTGAAAGCCCCACTTCGAGTTGTGATTTTTGGACCGGGAGATGGTAGCTATGCTGAAGTTCGACTTCAACTGTACTTTAAGCAACTCGTGTTAGTCTGGCATGACTCCGGTTGCCGTCGTCATGGTACTCGTCATAATGACGAGGCTGTCTTTGTCATTCGGCGCTACCCTTTCATTTTGAAGCTGAAGCCCCAAGTCTCCGATGGTTCCGGTTTTTGTGCAGGTCCACGCTGTATCCTTAACCCGCCAGCCTTTGCCCCCTACTGCGTACCAGGCCCTGCTTGTTCGGCTTAAAAGTATTCACACCGCTTGCGAAAGCAACCGGTTCATGGGTTAGGGTTCTGGGTTTTTAGAGTTGAGGGTTTAATTCGGAGGTTTAGAGTTTAGGGTTTTAGGGGCGAGGGTTGACAGGAGCTGGTCGACGACCTGTCCAGCCAGCTTCACTCGCTGGAGGTTGAGCAACGACATGTTCTGCTGACCAGGTTTCATCTCAAGGTCTCTGCAGGTTTTAACAGGGGTGTATGAGAGGGTGTTGTTGTTGTTGTTCTTGTCGAAGTTTGCCACGGCTTGAAAGCAACCGAGCCATGATCATCCTTGTTCAAAGATTTGGGCTTGAGGGCTCGGGGTTTGGGGGGTTTCGGGCCCGAACACCTCAGGGGGGCTTCTAGGGCTTGCTTGGATGGTGACATGCAACAGGCTGCGCGCTGCAGCACTGCCTCCAAACAGGGTTCAGGGTTTGGGGACTAGGCAGCTGAGCCACGGTATCTGAGCCCTCAGAGTGGTTGCTTGGCTTAGTCATCTTGCTTGCAGTGTTTTCGGCGACGATCCGAGTCTGCAAAAAGGGCTCAGGGTTTGAAGTTTAGGATTTTGGGTGCAGTGTCCCTGAAGATGCGCAGTGGCCTGAGTGAGAGAAGCTATCACGTGTCAAAATCCCCAAGTGTCTGTGGCCAGACAGCACAAAACTGAAAGCCTTGGACCCTCAACCCTGCAGCTACGGCCTCGGGTTCCGGATTTTCGCTTTAGGGGTTTTGGCAAACGCCCTTAAACCCTAAACCCTAAACCCCTAAACCCTAAACCCTAAACCCCAAATGCCCTGAAACCATGAATGGCCCCTGAGCCCATCAAGTACTCTGGACCACAGGTCTTCCTTTCTCTACTTGGAGGGTCATGGGTGGTTATCAGTTGGGTTGTGAGTAGGGTAGCTGTAATTATATTATAACCCATATTAGGGGAATTATAACTCTACTTATAACTACCCATGAACCTCCAAGTATCATTTTCTAAGATGCCTGATTCATGCCAGGGGAAGATGCCAGACGTCCTCTCGGGTGCCGTCGTTCTGGAGAGGGCTCCTTGGCAAAGACTTTTGCTTCGGGCTGCGTAGCTCAGCCTTGAGGTAGACCTTACACCTCGAACTCTGAAACTTTAGAGCAGAAAAACCCTACAGTGCGACATAGTCAGCTAGGCAGGTGGGGACAGCCTTAAGCCACTCTCCACCCTGATCCTAACCCTACCCCTGAATCCCCTTTTTGCCGATTCCCGAACCCGCTCCGCATGAAGGCTGTTTCTTGCGAGCTTTTTGCCCCAATCCGCCTCATCAACTGGGTTGGCTGCATGTAACGGAGCACGCACCTCAGAGTTGAGGGTTCACAAGTCTCGCAGCAAAGAGGGGCTTCTCCATGTTTTGACAGACTAGAAGCTCTTATTGCCACTGCTCTCATACTCAGCAAGTGCATGGCGAAGCCTGCCTAGACCTTGACACCGAAATCCTAAACCCTAAACCTTAAACTAAGCCCTAAACCCTATACCTTAACCCTGAGACCTAAATCCTAAACTCTAAGCAGCTGACAAGTGCTTGGCTCAGGTTCGGTCTGACCTAGAGGTGATGAGAATCGGCCGCCGTGAGGCCTGGCAGGTTCAGGGTTTAGGCCTTCGCTTTTTCGTTGCCCCTAAACCCTAAACCCCTAAACCCCTAAACCCTAAACCCCTAAACCCTCATAGTGCAGGGTTAAAGCTTTCGGGACAGGTAGGGCTCAGGGTCCAGTCTCTAGGGTTTCGGGTGCCTTTAAAAGGGGCGATGAAGGAAGCCGTTGTAAGCACCCCTTGTGGGAGAACTCGTATGTGGGTTGAGTCACTCCACCTACTTTCAACCCACCTTTGCAGCCTCGTCGTCTCATTCATTTTTGCCATTTGCTGCTGAGTCTTCTGTTGCTCATGGTTCGTGGTGATGTTGACGTAGGTAGTAGGATTCTATATACACAGATGCCTGAGAGGAGGACCGCATATTCTCGGACTCCTTTTTAAATAAACAGACCCAGTTCTGGCATGCCTGTCCCATCATCGTTACCTGAAAACCCGAAGCCTTGTTCCCAGAGAAAGGACACAAGCGTTTCAAAATCGGGAGGCCCTGAGTGATCCAAGCCTTCAAAAATGGGTGGTCGAAGTACCATACGGAGGGTTGTGAAGCAAACGCAACTTCGTCACCTGATTTCGACGAAGCTGCGGGTCCTGCTCTAAAAACCACCCCTCCACCAAACTCGTTCTTGGAAGCCTTCGCTGCCAGTCTCGACCCCTTTGCACCCTCGAGCTTGAAGTCGCCAAACCTTCAGCCCCTGCAGGCCTCATACCTCCTCCACATCAGCTACAGAATGCCTTGAACCCTCTCATATGGGTAAATCTCTACATGAAGGTCCCTTTTCGGGTCCTTTTTATATGGGCGCCGTACCATTTCTGGGGACCGCCAAACAGGACGCCTGAACCCGAACCACCCCAAAACCGACCGACGCCTTCAAAGGCAACAAGAGCCCCCCGTTGAAGGTTTCAGAGAGGGCCTCGAAACGGATCGCCGCGGAGTTGGAGGACACCCGCTCTGCTCGAAAGTCTGAGAAGCTTTGCTTTGTTGCTGCTACGATCTTAGGGTTTGGGCGAAAGCGCGCATCGGGTACGTGCAATTCTGTTGCAGCTGGTCATCCTGTCAGTTTCTACTCCCATGTGATCTTTTCGATATTCACGAATGCGCGATGTATGATTGTAGTCGTCATGCTTTTCGTGATCAAGTAAAGGTCCTGTTTTTTCAAGTAGTCAGTCCCAGATCAGTGGATGCATACGATGCAGCATGCCTCGAGTGTTCAGCCATAATCGCTGGTATGTGGAGCTTGGCTGAAGGGATTCAGGGCTTAGTGCATTGCAGTCCCTGCTCAAACAAAGGCAACAGGGTATAGTGAACAAGTCCCTGGATAATCATTCTAGAACGAGCCCAGAGCCTTAGTCTTCGTCTCAAGGCCTGTAGTTTGCCATTAGGTGAAAAAGAGGGTTGAGTTCTACAAGGGTTTCTCTGGGTTCTATCAGTGTCCTGACGGGATGCCACAACAGGTGTGTGTGTAGTAGTAGTAGTAGTAGTAGTAGTAGTAGTAGTAGTAGTAGTAGTAGTAGTTCTGAAGGGGTTTAGGGTTCAGCGATTTCCATTTGGAGTTTAGGTTTGTCGGACGTTTGTCGGGGTGGGAATGTGCAAACCGCAACTCGCAAGCATGCAACCAATCCACCAACTCAGAAGCTTTACAGCCCTGCGAGCCGTGAGGGCCTCAAGAAGTGCTGCGGTTTCACGAAGCCTCGCCGGATGTATCGGCAGGGTTTGAGGTGTCGGTTTTAGGGAATTTCGGGCATGTACAGTGCGACCTAAATTTACAATATAAATCCGAAACCCTAAACTTCAACCCGAAATCCGAAGTTTACGGTATTGGGTTCAGGCATCTTAAAGTTGTAAGGCTCGAAGGGTGCCTTGCGCAACAGGAGCTCCGAGACAGCTGTGCCTTCGAGGCTTCAGGCGGACCGTGACAGTTAAGGGCTTTCGGTTTTAGGGCTTTGGGGTTGGCTGAGGGTTTAATGTAGGGGCCCACAATAGTTACCAATACTATTTTGGGATTCCGTTTCTCTAATTATGGTATGATGGGCCCCAAAACCCTGTTCCACATATTAAGGAACCAAACCACCAGCGGCACCCAAACAGCCCTAAACCCTAAACCCTAAACCACGAAGGAGCCTTGCCTGCGCTTGCGAGCGTGAGAGTCGAAACCACTACGAGTGTGTGAGTCGAAACCACTACCAAATGGCTACCAAAATACAGCATAACAAGGCCAACATCAACTTTACTAAGACTTCGGCAATCTCCAACTTAAGCCTGGGGACCCGAAACGCCAGACTCCAAGCTCTACACGTGATACCTCAAACCCTAAGCTCCGAAATTCCCTCCTCACCGAACCAGCGCCCTGAAACCCTAGAGGTAAAAGAAGTTGGTGTTTGGAACGAGCTGCATAGCCTGCCGCACATGAGCTCGTCGAGGAGACGACTCAACCCACACCAACCCGCGGGGGATCCACAAGTGAAACATCTGCAAAAGGTAAACTGGCATCAGCACGTTCGGAAAAGTACCGCGTTCGCGGTAACTTGGACAATGCGGTCTTCTTGGTGATACGGTACTTCGCCCTGGTAGGACGCGTGGTGACACATACTGTACGTGGCAAATTGTTTGTGCGATCCTTCCAGCGCCACTTCTTCCCACACTTCAAACATCGAATCCACCCCTCATCCGGTGCGCCTATGGATTTTCCGACTTTTCTATTCCAGTGAAGAAGGTGTCGAGCTTTGTTGTACTTCATGTTAAGCTCCCGCTCTAATTTGTCGAGGCGGTTGTCGTTGGATGAATAACCTTCACATGCCAAGATAGGGCCGTCTGTTTGCGTACAGGGCTTGCTCGTGATCTTAAGGCGTACATGTTCCGTATATGAAGTAAACTTCCCACATAAACGGCACCAAAAGCCACCCCCTTCGCGTGGCGCCAGTAGATGTCCATTTTCAACAATACCATGCTCAGTAATCTCCTGGTTGGGTCTGCTGCGGCTTTTGTCTTCCAGATCTCCCCCTGCCACCTAATGATGTGCTTCTGCCACACGTCAACGAGAAATGCTTGCACAATGCGTATTACGGCATCGTTCAAGTACAATGTTCTCCGGTACGACCATGGCATAGGTAAAACAAATCGGTAGATCCTCAATCCTGCATCCCAAAGCCTCCAAAACAGGCGCCCGCTCTTCCACATACAAAGAACAGCGCCACGACACGTGCATTATGGTCTCCTGCTCCGCACCGCAAGAGCAAGTACGAT